ACACACCAGCTTCCATTTTCTACCTCCACTTAATATCATATTTCTTCTACATGCATTACCTTCCATAGTTTTTCATGTTTATTTTGAGCAATCATCTATGTCGTCGGAATTAGGATAAAAATGAGTGTAGAGTCTGCCACATAATCTCATTTTATGATCAGGGATGATTATCTTGAGGACCAGTAAATAGACATGCCAACAACTGATTAATTAAAGAGGAAGTATGGGCACAATTTCTAGTATGTCTCACAGGAAGTTTTGAGAACAACTCAGTATTGCTTTCAGGACATGAAGAATGCAAAGACATACAATAAAATCTTCCTATAATCTGCTGAACACCTTTGTGATGTGACTCAATCAGCAATGACCACCTTACTGAATTCATGTAGAAGAGATAATTAAAAGCACAATATTAAAGCTAAAAAGAGAAAAAAAATATTCATTCATTAATGAGGATGTAATAATATTTACAATGTTTAGTAAAAGCATTATGAAAAACAAATTTAGAAACAGCAAAATATAAACCATTCAATTTATTGTCTCCTAGACTGTCAGTCACTAAGAAAAAAGTGTGATTAAAGAGGAAGGACTTTGCCTGCTTGTGGAAGGACAGCAAATACAGTCTGGTCTCAAGTGGGAGGGAGTTCCACAGTCTGGAAGCAGTGACAGAGAAAGCCCTCTCCTGTTTCCCCATCAGACGCACCTGTGAAGGTGTTGGGACCTCTCCTGATGGCATTTGGAGGTACCTTCCTACTATCCTAGAGATAGCTTAGGCCCAAGCCATTCAGGGCTTTATAGGATAGAACCAGCACTTTGAACTGAGCCCAGAAAAAGATCAGCAGTCAGTGGAGCTGCTTTAACACGGGGGGTTACACGATCCCTGTAACCAGCCCATTGTCTGCAATGTTTTGGACCCACCAAAACTTCCTAGCACTTTCCAAAGGCAGGCCCATGTATAGCACATTACAGTAGTCCAGCTGGGATGTAACAAAGGCATATGTCCCTGTGGCCAGCTCAGACCTCAGCAGGAACAGACACAGCTGGAACACTAGTTTCAGGAAGTGTAACCTCATCCAGTGCAAAGTAAAAGTAAAGGTTCCCCTTAACATTTAGTCCAGTCGTGTCCCATTCTAGGGCGCGGGGCTCATCCCCGTTTCCAAGCCGTAGAGCCAGCGTTTGTCCGAAGACAGTTTCTGTGGTCACGTGGCCAGCACAACTAGACATGGAACGCCGTTACCTTCCCACCGAGGTGGTATCTATTTATCTACTCAAATTTTTACATGCTTTTGGACTGCTAGGTTGGCAGGAGCTGGGACAAGCGACGGGCGCTCCCTCCATTGCATGGATTCGATCTTACGACGGCTGGTCTTCTGACTGTGCAGCACAGAGGCTTCTGCAGTTTAACCCTCAGCGCCACCATGCCCCTCTTCATCCAGTGCAAGTTCCACCCTTATTCCTCGATCTGCTTTTCAAATGACAGCATCTTTTACAGCATCTTCAGCACTGGGCACAGAGAGAAATATTACTTCATAGCACACTAGAACTGCCCTTTCTTCTACATGGACATTACAGTCCTATATGTAATTGTGGAGGAATCCGTTGACAACTTTATTGTTTTAATTCTGAAAAAGGCCATGGGGTTGAATTTTTTTCCAGCCTTGCTTGTGCTGTTAACATTCTTCGATTTTTACACTCTACAGAATTTGATATTTTATTATGAATGCTGTATGTGCAACATTTTTGTATAGTTTGATTTTTTTTACGTGCAAGCTTTACATTGGGTACATCAATTCTTCCGTACTTTCCACTCATTTATTGGATCTGCTGTTCTGCACTGCAATACCTCTGAAATGCATCTGGAAGCTTCAACTTATCACAGGGAAGCCTCTTCCATCTTTCCTGAGAAGAAACCACAATATTACCTTACACCAACACTGTAGGAGCTGTGATGGCTGTTTGTACATCGTTAGGGTCAATTATTTTTGCTTTCA